TTTTACTTCCTGTTGGATTGCACACTTTGAGAAGCTTACGTTTTTAGTTTCTTGACCATATTATGCTATGCATATACACCAAGTGCACCATAGAATCGCTCCCCTCCCAAAAATTTACCCAAAGTCCACTTCATTGACAATTTTCATTAAAGAGTTGCAATTGGTGGATTTCTAGAGAGTTCTTCAGAGAATTTTGGTTGGCTTCGGTCCCAATTCGGGCCATTTTTTCTTCCTTGGAATATATCCCATCACCAATTATAAGTCTTTCCAAAATTTTTAAAACTTGAAATCGTTAGATTTCGGCAAATACGTTGTGAAGTTGCAGCGTCAACTTCAAGTATGCAATTCCGAAAATAGTAAAAATTTTCAAGCTGTAGCGCTCTTTCAGAATGTTCCGCAGTAAATTCAAATTTCACTCCTTACTTCACAAGTATTATACTGCAGACATCAATATTTTTGGTTTTGCAGAACTTTTGGGTTTGTACTTGCGAAAAAAGGAAGAGTAAATTTAGAGAAAACTCTTTTCGTTCTAGAATAATTAAAAGTCACCTTTTAATGGTATATGGGTTTCCAGATCTCGAATTTGAACTAAAAAATTATGTGGTCCGTAATTTTTCCCGTCAATCATCAGAATCGCAACTACAATAGCATAGTTGGCGCTTTTTCCAAGATTTCCTGGCCACCTTAAAATATATTTTTTGTAGATTTAGCATCTTTCTTATGAAAATTGAGTCTAAAGGTATAAGCCATACCATTTCATTGATGTGGTGGTAGGACTGTTCAGCACAAATTCTTGTGTTTTCGCATCGTATGTAGCCGTTGTTTCGAGTTTTTTGAGGTTTGTTCCTATAGAAACTCAGGAATTTTAGGGATTTTGTCAAAATGACAAAAACCCTTACCATGACCTAACTCAGTCTGAGCATAAGTTCCAATGATCTGCATCGTCATGGCTTGCTCCAGAAAGTGCATCTGTTCATCGGAGCAGTGAGCCTGTAGGGTAGGGATGAACATAACTGCATGAATGGCTAATGGATGTCCTTTGATTCCAATAACTTCGCTAAAAATCTAATTTTAATCTCCTAGATTTTTTGAAATGCAAAAAAAAA